TTTTTTATTAATAATTTACATAAAAAATTATAAAAATAAATTTTGCTTAACCGTCATCTTTTATTCTCTCTCCTCTCTTCCTTTCCCGTTATCAATGCCCACAAACAAGAATCAGCAGGATCCTCGCTCTTTGATTTAGTGACTAAGGTCATTAATTAGAGGAAATCACCTCCGAGTTGCATTTTCCAGTCTTATGAATCCCCTTCCTCCAGTTCTCGTGTACTTAAAATATGTACTAATTATCTCTTTCCAAAAAAATAAATAAGGAGTAGTAATAGAAAGTATGAAAATTTAGAAGAGAAGTATCAGTGAGATTAGAAAGGAAGAATTAGGGATTCAGGAAAGAATTTAGAAGAGAAGTAGAAAGAGGAAGGAAGAAGACAATAGAGAAGAAGAGAGAAGTCGAGAAGGAGAGGAAGAATCATATTTCATTATTCATCAGAACACATTTCAGTTACATTGACTCTGCCTCTTATTATAGCCTCTTTACATTCGTACAATCTGTATTAGCCTATGTACAACCTTATCAAAACATATCTAAAATGGGTAATGCATCCCATGTGGAGAGAATAAGCCAAACACTTTGGTTGGCTCGGCAAGGCCATGACGGTGGCTTAAGGCTCCTCTCTGCACCACCGCCACAATATGTTAGCCAGAGAGAGAGGAAAATGGAGAGAGAAGAGAAGAGAAGAGAGAGAGAAAAAAAAGGAGGACCGACTGGAAGGACGATTAGGTTATTTGTTTAATAGTGTTTCTTGCGGGACGAAACAAGGGTAAATTTGTCGAAGGAAAAAACAAAGAATCTGCAGTGGAAAACTATGAAAATTTAATGCAATATGCTCGTTTTTTCAAATATAAATTTTAAATAAAAATTTAATAATTTATATAAATAATAATTAAAATTTTTTCTCTACTACTTAAAAATAGATAAAAAGAGTATTATAATTAATCGATTTAACATCTCCCTTTCTAAAAGTTTATGTTATAAAAGTCCATTTAATATTAGAGATTAATGTATTTTAATAAACTTTTAAAAAACTCAATATTATATAATTTATTATTTTACAATTAAGATTATACCGAATTATAAAACCAAAACCTTTATATGGAGAAAGAAGTCTTAATATTAGCGCGCTCTCCTTTATTTAAGAGTTATTCTTTTGTAATTCAATACAATTTAAACTGTAAAATAAAATTTTATAAATACTATATTATTTTAACAAAAAAATTATTTAAAAAAACTCAAATATATATTTTTTTAAAATAAGTTATTTAACTTATTTCTTTTATGTATGTATAACTTTAGTTTCATATTCAGTCCTAGAAAGAAATTAGAAAAAAATAAATATGAAGTTGACAATTTCATTGGCACGGTTTGTGTACCACGCGGATAACTACCGAACATCGAACCTTGTCAGTGACCTAAGCTTGTTTAAGTTTGTATCTCCATTTAAGGGCTGAAACTCCAACACTGATTCCGCCCTCACCTCTTAAACTACAATTTTAGATGACCAGCGCCTCCTCTGAACGAACCGTAAAGAGGTAATGATTTTCTGAAACTAAATATGTCCTCAATTTCGCCTGGTTGAACCACTTCACTTTTCGCGGCTTTATACTCTGCTAAATGTTCATTCCCAACTACACGTATGCTCAGGGTCCTCTTCTGTGGTGCACCAACTTTTATATACTCATCGAAGAAGTCTATCAGTTCTGGCTGTGTAAGTTGCCTTAGTGCTGCAACCTGTTAGAACACAATTAGTATTCACCTTATTAGTGATTTATGTTCCTTGCAGATGGTGTTCATGGGGAGAAATGAAAGACCACAAATGTGACTCCCTATTACATTTACAAGTGCTGCAATGAATCCAATGGATGTTGCTTTACTCTTTTACAGGTGAAATAGGATCAGAAAGGTTACATACCTCAGCTTCTATCCGATCAAATTTTAGGGTTCCATCGGCAATTTCTCTCCAGTAAAACCAAGATTCTTCCCATAGATTCTTGTGCTTCTCAAGCTTCATATCAATCAATGCATTTACATTGCTCTGTGTAACCACAAGTTCAGCACTGAGTTTACCATTAGGGTCACCCGCAAAAACATATGCATAAACATGGACAAGCAAAAATGCATGCAGTTGGACACACCTAGTCTGAATGGTATCCAGCAGGGCACTACCATGGACCTTATAATGGAGGAAGTAAACCTAAATAAATACAAGAATAATTACTCATGTCTACTTCAATCTTACCTTAAATTCATCATGGGTCATCTTGTAAACTTGGGTCTCAAACATCTGGAGGAATGCCTGAACTCTCAAATCAATATACTCTGGGCCCTGTGCAGTTTAACCAAGTTTTAGTGATGAATCATCAAGACAACAAATAATATAGAAAGGACAAAACTATAACATTTACCTTCACAGTGGACTGGATAATGAACTGCAATCCACGAATTCCAGAATCATTCCTAATGAGCAAAAAATGAACTTAAATAAGATATAAGATAATGATGTCTAAATTTGTGGACAGGAAACTTTTCGTACCTCTGCTGGAGAAAAGTAATGTACCCAAGTTGCTCAACAGACCTAAGCTGATGGAAGGCTGGTTGCTTAGCAATAAGAGCAAAAAGCTGAAGTTTCACGTTTAACATAATATCATCTCGATGAACCTGGACATTTACAAAAGACCTTACATCAGAACCCTACCATATTTATAGGGCATCAAAACCATACGAAGAATTAGATCAGTGACAAATTTTATCCGGCTACTTGGCTATCAAATGAGATTACAAGACAACCTAAGCAATATGATATAGCAACAAAGGATCTTTTGATCTAATAACCAAGTTCCCTTGCAAAGCATTTTAATAACTTAAGAGTATTGTAGCCTGAGGCCCATGATAGACTACTACACCATTTGAATGAGAAAACTTGTAAATAAACAGTAATCATTGCACTTGCACTGTCTCAGCGGTAGCCATCAGATTAAACCACAAAATCCTGAAGATGTTTGGAAACCATACAATGCATGATTCTACAGGTCAAGCAGTAAATAGATTCGTACAACTCTGGAATAACTGTATGAAAATTATGAGACAAATAAAGACATTCCAGAATAGATAACTAAATGCCCTCACAAACTTGAATATCTTTTTGTAGATTCCAAAACAAATGTAATTTACCTGAAAATAGTAGAGAAGGGCAGAATTCTCATCACTTGGATTTAGTCCTTCCTTGGAGTAGAAGTAATTCATGCCTCTTTCAAGTTTTACAACTCTATTTGTAAGATGTTGGGATGGAAATAATGGTTGACATATAGGGTTTGAGCTCTTAAAGAAAATATCTTCAACATGCTCTATCATTGACTCTGCCTCAGCACATTCAATGTTACCTAAGAGATTATAAAATAATACTCAACATATAGCAAACATAACCTAAACCAGCAACTTTATTGGGGTGAAACGGGAAGAAGAATAAGAAAGACCTGCCATGTAACATTCAAGGAAGGCCCTTGAGAGCATCATGGGAACAAATTTGGCAAGGTCTTCAGCTTTAATATTTGGCAGGACCTCAAGTTCTTCCATCCAAGGCCATAAGTTGTCCT